CTAGTTATTTTACTGGTTCTCGGGTTTGATTGTGCATATCTATTTGGTGTCCCTTTTTGTTTCCTTTTGTCCCTTTTCCCCTTTCCCTATCCCTTCAGAGGGTGTTTGGATTCCCTTTTGCTGTGTACAAAGCATCTTAACTGTAATATACATAAAATATATTTTTTATATAACTAGCTTGGTTTTCAGGTTCTTCAATTTGCATAGTTTTTTTCCTTTGCCCTGGGGGAAGTAGAAAGGGGGAAAGAGAGGGGCTGCTACTGGGGGGGGGGTTGGGCATTTGGCAAGGAGCCAAGTCCAAACCATCACAACAGTTGATGTTTCCCACTGTGACACCTCCCTGTGAGGGTGGGCAGGCCCTGGCACAGGTTGCCCAGAGAAGCTGTGGCTGCCCCTGGATCCCTGGAAGTGTCCAAGGCCAGGTTGGACGGGGCTTGGAGCAACCTGGGCTGGTAGAAGGTGTCCCTGCCCAGGGCAGGGGGTGGAACGAGATGAGCTTTAAGATCCACTCCAACCCAAACCATTCTGTGATTCTGTGCTGACCAAGCTGCAGGACTTCTCTCAGCTGCTGGAATGAAGGATAAATTGCTGGGCTCTGATATAATGCTGCAGTGGACTTTAGCAAGAACCTGAGGAGCAAATAATTGGAATGTAGTCATAGAACACTGCAGTTGTTATTTGGTTTAACTAGCACTGCACTGTAAGCTACGCCTGGTTTTGATAATCAGTTTTTAGAAGTTGTACTTTACTGAGGTCTCATTCAGTGCAAATTCAGAAAATAAGTTCTTGCAACACTGGAATTGTAATGATAAACACAAGGATGTTTTGGAAAGGGCTTGAAACCTCTGAGCAGCACCTGAAACGTTCGTCCAGAGAAATTTCTGCAGTGCATTTGCTACACACTGCGTTTGCAGTGTTGCTTTTCATCCTGTGTTCCCACAGAAAATCCTGTAATGATGAGTGGAGCAGAGTTCCTGTTATTTGCATGCAGTTTTTAAGTTGTTGTCTGAGGGCAGGGGCAGCAGGGAAGGGCATCAGCTCTTGGGTGAGGCTCACAAGGGTGACGTGGGCACCCCCCAAAGCTCTGCTCTGCTGCCACTGAGGGCTGATTTTTAATCAGTGAGTTGTCATTTACGTAGCAGGGAGATGGACTGTGCTGAAATAAATCAGGCACAGCTCCCTGAAAGCACAACACTTGATGAGTGTGTCCTCCCAGCCTCCTACCTTGAGAAATTATCTGATGGCCCACAGAGTCTGCTTCTCCTTCCCTCCCCAAAGGGAGGGCTTGGACTGAAGCTGATGATGGGAGCTGGAGCCGAGGTGACTGCAGGGACACCCACCAGGCTCCTCCTGACATCGCAGCAGGGGCGGCTCTGCCCCACCATGGCACGTACAGTGGTATCAGGGTGATTAATGTGCCCAATAGAAATAAAACAAATGGAATTTTTTTTGAGATTATACTGTACACTCATAAATATTAATGCACTTTTGTACTGAATTGCATGTAATTACATATTTATACATTTAAGTCACCTTCATGATACACTTAAGGCACTTTACTGATGAAAGATATCTCTGAATAAGATGGGTTTAAACTGTGCCTAATATGTTTGTAGGATTTATTTAATAATGTGTGGGCTTGTATGCTGGCAGGAGAGGAGAAAAACCTCCATTAAAGACTGAATGTGTTCATGGGGTCTGGTGCTTAGTTTGAATCCACTCCATGGGCAGCTGCTGACAAATACGTCTCGACATGAAATATTACTACATCTTCTTATCTATGTAGATAAGGTCTCTGCAGTCCTGTCACCTTAGAGTAATTACAGCTTATTACTCTAATCATGATGATGCCTGAAGTCTGTAATTAAGATTGTGCTGGCTAATGTAGGAGCACACGGCGTGGTACAGCCATTGTCCTGTCTAAACAAGGGGGAGATAAAACCGGGAGCAGGGACAAAGGGCAGCGAGTGGGGAAGTGATTTATGCAGGGCTCTGGTTCCCAGCCAAGGGCTGCCTCTGCCAAGCCCAGGGGCTCCACAGGGCAGAATCCCTGCTCGTGTGTGAGACAATCTCGGGCAGTTTGCACCCTCAGACACGAGGAGCAAGGCCCTGCGCGACCCCTATTCAAGCTACTTTTGATGCATCCTGCCCACCTGCATCTGAGCTTCATTCCTTTATCATGTTGTGTTGCAGTCTGGTTGCAGATGAAGATTTCAATACATATTTCCTCATACATACATATTTTAAGGCCAAGTCGTGGATCTGTTGCAGGCCATGACAGGTTCTGCCCCACAATCCCATTACACGAGGGTTTGACCCACAGGGCTCTGCAATTTTCTCTGCAGTGGTATCAGCTGATGAAAAGCAGAGGGCTGTTCTGGAGGAATGGGGTTGCCTAAACACCAATCTTTACGTCTACATTTCATAGCAAGCCCACCCACCAAACAGGATTCAAGGCCCCTGTCCCAGTTTGCAGAACATTGAGTTAGGTATGTGAGGAGCTCCCTTGCCCCTCTTAGTGAGCAGAAGAAGCACCTTATTTTTGAAGATTCCTGCCAGTCCTTCCTTCTTTCGGGGAGGGTTCCTTTTCACCAGCTTGTGGAAGGCTTTGGTAATTTGGTGTCACTCATCTCTGTCTGTGTATGCAGATTCTTTGATCCCAATTCTGACTTGAGCTCCCTGTCCTTTAGGGGTGTCTGACAATTCATGAAATGTTCTGCAGTTGGGTGGAACATCCACAGTGATCTGCACAATCTGACCCATCTTACACCCTCTTTAAAGCTAATGGGAACTAGTAATTTCTTGATGGCAAGTTCTAGCCCCATTAGACATTTTATAAGCACCTGGAAACCTGCCACTGTTTCATTTAGATCACTCATAGCTGGAGGGAAAAAAATCCCACAAAAGCTTCTTAGTCATTAGAAGAATTTATTTTTTTTTTTCCTCAGAAAGTCTCCCTTTGTTCACTCCTTCAACCTTTCACTTTTAGAGTGAATCCTCCCAGTAGCATTTCTATCTACCAAATTAGCTCTGTGTTTCAACAGAAGTCTTTGCTGGTATAATGTACTACTCATAAAGCACTGTTTGTTTTTTTTTTTCTTAATACTGACCTGAAAAAAAAAAAAGATTGTTAGCAGCCTGATCTTAAGGTACAAATCAGTGTATTTTATAAGCTGCCTCTGCTGTCCAGGAGGTCCAGGTGTGTTTGTGGATGCTGTAGGTTTATGAAGCCGCTGATGGTGAGCTCGAGGGTGAAATGGTTACTCGGTACACGTTACCTGAGAATTTGCCTTCCTGCACTCAGGGCATGGAGCTAAACCTAAAGCCATCCTGGGAAGGGAGACAGAAGGTGTGCTGAGGAAAGGGCTGTTCTTGCTTTTCATTTCCTTGGGCTGCTCTGTGGGATCTCTGAGGTTGAGCACAGGGCTCCTCACAAGGAGATCTCAAACAGAACGTGAAGAAAGTGCTACTACCGAGTTCTTTTCCAGAAGGTTGAGGAAGCAGCAAGGAGAGACATGAGGTCCTTAAAGTACTAATCTGCTTTAGAGTTAAAGATCTGAAATTCTTTTTTATGAGGTTGGATAAGGCTCCTAACTTTTGGGATATGAATAACACTGTGAAGAAAAGCCTGGGATATTTCCTATGGGGTCTTAGGTGAAGAAAAGGTAGAAAAAGTGTCTTACAGCTTCTGTTCAGTACTCCCATCTTTAATACTTGTAAAATCATTCTTTTTACTAAATATGAAATGTGAATGATGATTGTCTCCAGTTTAATTAATCATCTCCTTGGTTTCAGTTATGAATTTTGTGAAGCTCCTGTGTTTTCAAGAAGCATTTAGGGAGCATTCTTTAATTAAAGCCAAACTGATTTTTGCCTTTGGGCATGTTTTTTTTTTTGCATTAAGAGGTGACATAATTTGAACTCTATTCTCCTGAACCTCAGTCTGTATGTCAGTTATAATATGGAGTGGCAATATTGAGACAGCAGCTGAAAGGCCACAAGATCCCAGGGTGCTTTATGGTGGGGCATGGGGAGCTCCTGGTCAAAGCAGCAGGACTGTGAGCAGAGAGTGCTGAAAGTGTTCCACTGTTTCATGGCCCTCACAAGGCAATACCAGACCCTCACGGAGGGAGTTCTTGGAGGAGATGTGACTCAGCACATTGCATTTATTAGATGCACAATGTGCACTATAATTAACATCTTTCCAATAGTTCTTCTCTCCTAATGAATTCTCCAGCCTCTTCTTCCTCTGAATTTGGTTCTGTGTTATTGAAAGAGATTCAAATAATATTTAGTTGAAATGAAAATAGGGGTTCTGTGTGTTGCAGGTTATCAGGAAGAAAATAGCTGTGGGCTAAGTGAGAAAAGTCACATTTGTTACAAGGCTGGAGTATTTTTTACAGGCAGGCATTGATTCGGGGGGTTAAAGGGTCAGTAACAAAGTTTTCAAATACAAGCTGGTTGTTTGTGCACTTTTCCCCTCCCTCCCTGAGATTTGGAAACCTGCTGCTTAAGTCAGGCTTGAGGGAAACCTCCCCTGAAGTCAACGGAGATTCATTGGCCCTAACTGGATTTAGGTCAGCTCGTGCCTTGGCTTGTCAAATACAAGAAGTAATAAGAACAAATATGAAAAGTTGAGCATTGTTTAAATCACAGCAGATTGTTAATTTAAACATTATAAACATATGTTGTCTTCTGAATGTGTGTTCACTTGATACACAAGATGCTTTGGAGAACTGTGAGGTTGGTGGTATGAAATCTCAAGGAGGATGTGTTTGCTTGTGTGCACTCACTTCATCTGACCGACTTCATTTTGCATTTGCCTGTTAAGTGGTTAAGAGGACATCAGTGAGGGCTGGGGTTTTTTCCTTTTCTGGTGACTGTAGTGTTGCCTCTGGAGTTCTTTGCTGGTCACCTGGAACTGCTGCTTCAAGAGGCCAAGCAAAGCAGAGCTGTGGCTTAACCCCTGCCTTTTTCTCTCTTTCCTTCTCCCTCTGCAGAAGGACGTAGCTCTGAAACCTCAGGAACGTGTGGAGAAGCGACAGAACCCTCTGGCCAAGAAGAAACGGGAGGCACTTACCAATGGGCTGTCGTACCTTCCCAAAAAGAACAGGCTCCACCACCACCAGTACAGCTCCGACCGGGAAAATGACCGTAACCTGTGCCAGCACCTGGGCAAAAGGAAGAAACTCCCCAAGGGCCTCAGACAGGTGGGACACAAGGCACCTGCTGCGGGGAGGGAGGGCTTTGGCTCTTGGCACATGGTATGTAGAAGCCACTTTCTCGTTTTGTGGGGTCACTGGTTGGAATCCTGTTGTGGTTGTTTTGCTCTCGGGTGGCGCTCGGTGCTGTGTCCTGCCAGAGGAGGAGGTGGCTGAGCAGGTGGATTGATGGTGGAGCTGGTCTGATTAATAAATGTGCAGGGCCTGGGAGAGCTGTCCCCAGGCTGGCTGGGAGGCTGTCAGGGCAAACAAATGTGGTCTCTCTGTCACACTGCAGGGCCACCTTTGTCCTATAAATACCCATTCTTGTCTCTAGACTCGGTTCAGGGAAGCACAGGAGCCCTCTGAATGCCAAGGGCAAGGTGAGCTAATTGCAAGAAGGGCAGCTGTTAATCAAGCTCTGAGATTGATTAGAGTGTGAGGAGCTCGTTTGCAGGGTGTCAGTGGCACTGGTTCTGCTCCTCTGGGTTACTCAGAACCTGCCCTAAGCAAGAACCTCTGCCCTCCCAGCAGTGTTGTTCCCTCCCAGGGCAGCTGTGGCACACACGTGCCAAGAGTGAGCAGGTCACATCCAGGGTTGCAAAGCCTGAGGCTGGAAACGTTGGGTTCTTCTTCATGACTGTGCAGTGACGTGTTTGTTATGTTTTTTAAAAAAGAAGAAAGTGTGACAAGTGTGATTTCTATGATGCAGATGCAGAAAAAAGAGGTAATAGTAAAAAGGTCAGCTTTTGCCTACGTTTGATTGATATTTATGAGCCTTGAACCAAAATTTACATGTCTAATGGGGATGGTTGATAAATGGAATCATTTTTCATCCTTGTTTAGTGCTAACCAAGCATTGCTTTGGAGAGAAACTTGTAGAAAATAGTGAGAATTCACTGCTTCTCATTTTGTGAGCTCAGGGAAATGGAAGGAACATTGAGGATGACAAGTATGCTGACTTGTATTCAATTTTGATATTCAGAGTTACAGAAGCTGGGAAAAAATAGGTTTTCATGATGATTTTTAAGCCCACACTGTGTATAGAAATAAAATTAGAGATTATACAGTACTTCAGCAAAGCACACAAATTGTAAAAATGCCTATTCTACACTACCACAGCTGTTAAAGGTATTTCTTGTAATTTAATTTTACTTGGTATTTCAAAGGGAGATGGGGAAAACTCTTCAGGATAGTTGATGCAATGGTTATGTTATAAATAGATATTGAAGGTTGCTGTGTTTCCTTGACTGTTTCCTCTGTTCCCCTGTGTGGTCTTCACTCTGTTCTGTTTTGGTCTGTCAGATGGTAAATGGACCTGCTTTGGGCAGTAGGAACTGGCCTCTGGAGAACTGACTTTTTGCATTGTTTGAGTCCCCTGGTGTGGCCTGTTGTCAGGTGGAGCCTTTCTGCCCAGAATTTCAGCTATGAAGGAAATCAGCCTCACTGCTGATGGAGGTTATTTGTGAGGTTATGTTTTTGGGAATAAATATACACTGTCTTGGAAGGTATTGAGTTGACAGATGTCATGGAAAATGCTTTCCCTTTGAGCTGATAAATCTGAGTACCCTGCCTAATTCCTGCAGGATCAGACTGAGAGGAAATAAAATATCTTACTCAACATAAATGTAATACTTTTGGGAGGGGTGTAGCTCCTCAGATACGAGCATCTTAGTCTCATGAACAGTGTAAGTGCTGACAAACCCGTGAGGCTTTGACATTCAGACAAGGAAAAAAGATGTAATGGAAAAGACTGTAAAGCTCTTGGGAGAGGCATGCCCACCACCTTTATGGAGAGAGTTTGTGGTAGGCATTTTCTCTCTTCTTTCAAGACAAATGGTATAGACCTCAAAAGAAGGAGGAGAGTGACAAGTTCTGAGGGTGATTTTCCCTGATAACGTTGCATTTTTCCTCCTGGAGTGACTCTTGGCTGCACACCTCGGGTTGCTTTCGCCACCCAGGTCCATCCCACTGAATTCCTGGGCTCTTGAAGGGGAAGTTGATTGTCAGCCTTCTCAGATGGCAACAATCCAAGAACTGGGGCCACTGTGGTTTGTGCTTGACTCCGTAGGAGTGTCCAGAGCCATTTAAAGTTCAGGAGGCTTCTGGCTGTTTATGGTGTCCTTGCTATACCAGGGTGATATATTTTATACATAAACAATTTATCCTGCCTCTCCTGTCCCTGGAGGAACTGCCACGTGTGAATATGTAACTGGGTGGCAGGATGCAATCCTCATGCAGACACTTGCATTCTTGTGCTCACATAAGACCTGGGCTGCAGTCTGTCCCTGTTGGGAAATGTTTTATACCTGGAGATCTTGTTCGTAGTTCCTCTGGTGGTTGACAGTCGTGGTGGATATGCCTCTCTGTGAAATCTGTTATCTGCTGGAAGGAACTCTCAGTGCAGGATTTAGGGTATGAAGCTCGCTCGTCAAACAGCTTTAGTTGAAGCCAGCTATTGAAAGCACTGCTAATTAGTTTTCAGAGAAAATCCTTGCAGTGTTCATGCAGGTATTTATCCAGCTCTGCTGAAATGCCTACAGGTTTATTGAAATCCAGAAAATGTGAAACTGTAGGTTAATTAAGGCTCATATTTTACTAGCGAGAAGACTTTTGAACTCTGCTTTGTGAGCTTTTATAAATGTACTTATTAAATGCCTTAAGGAAATTTTAGTTGGCATTAAGCAAACATAAGACTCATCAGAATATTTCTCCAGCGTTTTAAATTTAATTTCCTTTACGTTAATTGGTGGTGGTATGTTTTTATGTGTTCTCTGTAAAAATCATCTGGAAATCTTGAAGTGAACATTTTTAAACTAGTAAAATGGTGGCAAACATTTTTAAATGGATTTTAATGAGTTTTTATTCCTTGAGGTCCGAGCACAGTGGGGCATACCAGGAAACAATGAGTTTTCAGGGCAGAAGGAGTGTTGAGAGTATTTTGATAATGAGAAGGAAGGATCTTTGTTCAGTGGGTGTGTGTTTTGGAAAGAGCAGAAGACACTGACTTTTGCAACCTCCACCATTTCCTTCATTGTTCTGTTCATCTGCTGGGAGAGTCTTGCACGTTCTTGCAGAAAAGGATCGTCTCTGGAAATGCTTCTAAACCATCAACCTGCCTGCTGGGCGAGGGGTCTTATCTGGCCATGTCTGTGTGAGAGCAGGCTGCTGCTGGGCTCTGCCTGCACCACCTGATCCCAAAGACACTTGCAGAATATCAAATCCTAATCCCAGATACCGCCTGACTGCAGGGAAGGAGACGAATGGTAATAAATAAAGGGCGGATTGTGAATAAAGGGAATAAAACCCATGATGGAGAGATGAATTAGGAGGTCAATTTTAATGAGATAAAGGCAAAATGGGAAGGAGCAAAAGATACCCCACTGACTCTGGCAGCCATCAGCTACAAGCATTATAAACTATTAGCTTTCACCTCGTAGTGCATTACATGAATCAATTAAAGGGGAGGGAGGGAAGGATTGAAGCTGTTCCTTCTCAGGATTAAGTCCCCGATCTCCTTGGCAGCCTCACCCCAAATTTATACATCTTGCATTTGGGACTGCTTTTGGTGGCTGATTGGGTGGCCCTCACTGTCCCCTGCTTGTGAGCATCGTGTCATTAACTGTGTTGTGGGTCCAGGGACACGCTGGGTGCCTCAGTGCAGCAAACCTGTGGTGTGGAGGGTGAAAGGACCGTTGTGTGATGAGTGTTTAATCACACCCACAGCCAGAGTGGCTTGTGCAGGCTCTCAGACCAGCCCACACATGACAGGTAATGGGAGCAGAGCGGGAGGTGGGTGTTTGCTGCCTGGGTTGTGGTGACACTGGTCGGGAGCGGAGCAGATGGGTTTGATTGTCACTGGCAGTGTGATCCCGGGGAGAGCTGACTGTGGTGACAAGTGATTTACAATGTGCTATTTACAGTTTGGGTTTGCAGTCTCTCAATGACATCTGAGTGCTCTTTAGCAACTGCTTTCATTACTGCTTTTCTAAGAGCTGCTAATTGAAAATGAAATTGTGGGTGGGCTTTGGGAGTACCATAGCAGCTACAAATATTATGCACAGCCATGGAGAACTGTTTCATTTCTTTGACTCCCCACTTGTAGCTCTGTGCAAGGGAAAAAAGGGACATCTCTTTGTGCAGTGTAAGGTCAGACACCTTGGAAATCCTGCCTACAGCATGCATGGACCCAGAGTGGGTGAGAAAGGCTCCGATCCCCCTGTGCACAGCTGATGGGGTTTGGGATTACTCTACTGGCAGCCAGAGGATTTCGGTGACTAAAAAACTTCTGAAGATCAGGACGGTACCTGGGCCATGAAATAGTTCCTGCAGGACAACAGAAGGGTTTGGAAGCTGTGCAGGGGTGTTTGGGCTGGTTTTGCACCTTTGGGGGTCTGGCTTTGTATGAAGTGACAGGGAACATCACTACCAACTCCCAGAGTGTGGGACAAAGTCATGTGCCCTGGGAGTGCTTCCAGGTCAGCAGGGATATGGCCATGTACTGATGGAAATGGAGATAATGAGTCCATTCTGTCTGTGAAGAGACAAGTTGTTTAGTTTGGGGTTTTTTGTTTTTCACTTCAATTTCAAAAAAAATGGCACAACCACTTTGAAATGACGGGATTTGCTGTTCGTGTTGCAGCCTATACAGTGTGGTTTGATTCTGTGCAAGTGTTGCCAAAAGTCTGAAGGCTCCCACAGCGAGTGTCACCAGCAAAAGGATTTGAGGGGCCACTGATTTAATGGAACTGTGTCTGCTTGGTGTCGTGTCACCCAGGGCGTTGCTTATTAATCTACCATATTAAACAACATTGAATTAGAAAATAAACTATTAGATTATGAAAAAATCAGATTACAGCACTGAAAGAATAGAAAGGGCCATATCCAGGTCACTGTGCTTTGAGGTTACGTCACAGCATGGTGGGTGTAGTGATACAGTGGGAGAAGATACTTGTGTGATGAAGGGACACGGGTAGATCTGGGCTTTGAGAAGGATTTATAGGATGGAA